TATTCTGCATTGCTAAATAAATATCCTCCGTACTACCAACAAAAACATCTCAAATAAAATGCGGTAATACACTACAAATCCTGCAATTAAAAAGCACTAATGAAATTTTTGGTGTACTTGGATAAATATGATAATATTCCGTTTGAGTGGTTCTAATGTTTACCATGAAATTACTCCTTAAAGTATAGTTTATAAACATTTATATTCACGGTAAACTTAAAAACGGTTACGGTATGTTTTCAATAAATAAACACCGAAATCACCAGCCCAAACAATAACACACACGATTGTCGTGACGTATTATTGAAGTTGTTTATTTTTTTTAAATGACAGACCCAGGCATTAAAAACTTTATGTTTTGCTAGAGGAGTTACCGAAATAGCAATTAATATTAGTTCTTTTACCTGTTATAACTTCGATATCCGATAAATCGGTATAAAATCATCACCGGCACCTCTAGGTGTGGTATACGTCTACGGCTGCATGTATCGCATGAGCGGTTATAAAGTGGGGTGCAACCTCTTTTTATAATTTTTTTCGTGACACCAAGTGACGGGACGAACAAACCGTGAGGCTGGTGGAAAACGACGCGTCGGTCCATAACAGTTACAGTGCCACTCTGAGCTTTAAATCCCAAAGATCTAAGGGGCACTGCCACCGCGCCCGTCATCTTGAGACATAAGTTGACAACTCTCATGTGCCTGGAATTTCACCAGCACTCTTACCCATCAAGACCGAAACGCAGTAAATGCTCACATTACTGCTTGGCAGCAGTATTTCCCTGGACGAAATCTCTCTTTCTTCTCTCTGCTTTCCAGGCTTTTTAGCAGCGGGTCGAGCAAAAGGTTCCAAAGAATCGGGCCAACTATCGACCCTTGTACACAGCCCTTTGCTGTTTCTGTGACCGCTTCTTCCCCACCGTATCTGACTTTCACCTTTCTGTCGGCTAGGTAGTCGTCAAACAAATCTTTTTATAAAAAAAAAGACGCGCCGAATATTAATGGTCCAGTTTTCCAGTCTGAGTCTTATATATGGCCACCAAGCGCTATCGAAGGCTCCCTCTATATCTAAGGAGACTAAGGTTATTATCTGTTCCTCTTTATGAAGCGAACGTAAATCAAAACAAAAACAAAAAATCACGGTGTAATAAGGCCACATCTGCAAAATGACAGCTTTGCAGTACATTTATATTTTATAATAATTACAAACATACATTCGTTAAAGACAAGTACAGATGTATGTAGATAAAGAAAACATCAAAAGGTATGCAAACAATAAAGTATATACATTACACATGAGCAAAAATAAATGCTAATAGCACTGTATTTTTGAATATAAATTGAACCATTTGCGTAAAAAGGTTAAAAGTTCCTCCTTTAACTTTCAAATTTAATGGACAATACGCAGCAGGAACTAAAACTGTTATCATTGAACTACTTTTAATAATTTTAAATAACTGAAACTGTTTAGTTAAGAAAGTAGATAGAGATATGCATTCCGTATGATATTTTTGCTTTGAATCGGTTTTTTGGATCTTATCTTTAATGGATCATAAATGCCTTTGAATCGATTCACGGATCGGATCGCATACTCTTCAATCAATCTCATAAAAATCTTTAAAAAAAATTCTAATTTGTTATAAATAAAACGCCTTTATTACATCGCACTGCTATTACAATAGTGTTGTAACTCAAAACATGTGAAATTTAATATTATATCATTACTGAACGTAAAATTTGATTATCTACATGTCAAAAAAACCGTCATTAGAATATTGTAAGAAACAATCAAAAGATATCTACTTAACTCGAAATGAGATATACACTATATGTGAGCTAGCTTTGTATTTGAGAAATTGTTTAAGTGTCTATAATAAACTATAACATATAAATTATAATGATTTTTTTGCTGAATTTTTATTTGTTCGTTTATCATCGATTCTGGCAAAGTCCTCTTTTAGAGTTAATACACTTTTTTTTTATTGTATTAACAGTGCGACATGATTTTATTGCCATATCGTCGCTTGGCAGACAAAACCACTCAAGTGGAAAATTGGCGGTTTTTACTTTTGAACGTTACTCATGTTCAAATATAACGTGAATTTCTATAAAAATTTTACCACCAACTCATATACAATTATGTGTTATCCATAAATAGAGCATTTATTACTAATTACAAAATATCAAATGCAATAATATTAGTGCAGTTTTCCACTCTCCTTCAAAATTACTCAAAAATACTTGAACGGGTGTTGTTTGCTATGCCATGATATGTAAATATATATATTTTTTCCTTTCACCAATGCCAATCGTTTACATAGAGTATATAACCAGAAATATAGATGAAATAAGGGCCATCTATCCCTGGCAACTCATCAGGTAAATGGACCTTATGTCACTTTTAAATATCATATAAGAAATCAGAAATTAGAAAACTGGAATAGTACAGTGCCAACAACTGACCTGTGTGCACGACGATATTCCAAAAATATTCTGTAAAAAGATAATAATGGGAGCTGTTCCATTCGGTGCTGTGGAAAAAAACAGCAAAACATTTAAAAAACAAACGGAATCACATTTCATCTGTAATTAAATATGTATTTTTTAAATTTTCGTCAATTATAGCAACGCTCAAGTTAAACTGGTCGATTTGAAGTGAAAAAATTGACGACACCCGTCAATTGTTTCGAATTCGGGCTGGCCAATCGGAGTGCAGTTGCCACCGTAATGATTTGGCAGTATAGTTTTCAAACAAATTAAATAACATTTTGTCTCTATTTCTGGTTATGTACTCGATACATCTAACCAAACTTTTCAATAATAATGTCATGTAACTTAAATGTCTAAAGCATTGTCCTCTTCTTTATTTTCCGTTTCTGTAGTTGACGAACTCGTTAATAAGACGAGGTATTTGTTTAAATTACGAATACGTTCTACACAATTCGGTTAGCCATCATTTTAAATTGATTCGCTTAAAAATCGCATTGAAATGAATCGATTCAAAAAATCACTAGATCTTATCTAATGATTTTTGATCTTCATAAAAATCAAATCCTAATGTTCATCCCTATTTCGTACTCTATTACACACAGAACAATAAATACAGTAAAAAAATAGAAATGCTTATATTGCGTAGCACGTGTGCCAAGTGCCAACCGTACGCGAAGTTCCACGTTATAATTCAGCTCAGTCTGCCATTTCCGCTATGGTCGTGTCGATTATCTCGCGCAAAACCTCGAAAATCGTGAGAAAATAAAAATGCCCTATTCCGCCAAAGACTTAAAGAGAGATCTAAGCCCTCTTATACCTATATACATTTAACTATGCAGGTTAACTTTATTGCTTCATTTGTGACCGGAAAAACGGTATGGTGAGTCATAATTACGGCACACGCTAGGAACTAATTTCAAAGGGCCGCTGTTATCGAAATCAATGAGGACTATTCGTATACACTTTGTTTACGTTTTGACAAATTTAGAAAAACAAAGAAGTATAGCTTAAGACCACATTCTTTGATGACAACATTCTTTGTACTTCCTGGATGTTTTCGATACAAGTGTGTGATATCACACTCGACACTAACTGAGTAGGCATTTCTTTGACCCATAGTGCGGCTTGCAACTGCGGTTGTATTTTTATGTTTTACGTAATAAATAAGTTATGTTTTGTGCGATAGGTTAGTCAAATTGTGCATCCTTGTTTTCTATTTGTGAGGTTCTGGAACAGGACACCATTGTTAGAGATATTTTCTGTATTACAATAAATACAGAATATTTTTGGAATATACGGAGACGGCGCTGTACTATTTCAGTGTAAACGAGAGTTGATATTAATAAGTGATGTATCACTGATGATGACCAGAAATGTATGGCCCTTATTTCGTCTCTATTTCCGGTTATTTATTCTATGGTCTTTCCCTTACAGGTGGAGTTTATCTTCCATGGTGCAGCGACAGTCCGTTTTGACGAAGCCCTGAAACAGGCCGTCGAGATCAACGTCAGGGGCACCAGGGAGATGCTGCTCCTCGCCAGAGCCTGCAGCAGACTGAAAGCTATGGTGCATATATCCACTGCGTATAGGTAATCCATTGTTTTCTTTCATAAAACCATAAAGTTTTCCAAACTGCCAAGTCGTGATGAAATTTTATTACTGAGGTTGGATAACGTCTGGCCGTTATCATTTGAGTGCTTACAAGGAGACTTGCCGCACATCGTATCATTTCTTTACTGTGCTTCTGGCGCCTCCTGGGCTACAATCGGCGAGTACCTTACACCATTGGCAAATTTTACCACGTTATCAAGCATTACAGTTTACGTCATCGATACAATAAAAGAATTATTGAGTTAGATTACTTCGTTTCGTTCAGGTACTGTCAGGACGGTGTCTTCAGCAGTAAACGTCTTAGAGCTGATGATGAGGATCAAAGAATTGTATTTTTTCCGTCACGCCACCACTATTTTGGGGAATTTCAAAGAATCTTCTTCTGAATGATTATCACTAGTATCAGGTTTCTTACCACGGTATGACTTCTTTTTATTTCCCCGATATTTCGGAACGGTTGCACGCTCCATGGTCACGGGTTGACTGGACGGCGGCAGATGACAACTTTATGAGCAGACATATCTGTCTACCCTCTTGCGCTGTCGACGACTAGACTAGACTAGAAACACCGGGTGTCTATAAAGTGAACTGCAGTTGTGGGAGCTCGTATATCGGTCAGACTAAACGAACAATTAATTGTCGATCGTATGAAGGAACACATCAGAGCAGTAAAAAACAATGATGCACAGAAGTCGGCTATAGCACACAGACTGACACTAACCGCTGGATCGAGTCGCATAGCCCCCAGGTACTCTCGACAGAACGTCACTACATACCACGGTTGGTACGAGAAGCCATCGAGATCACGAAGTACAAAACATTTAACCGTGATGATGGTTTTAAACTGTCCAGTGCATGGAATCCGGTCCTTAGTGCGTGCAGTAATAAAAACAAAAACACCTCGAGTTCAGTTTCGCGTGTGGATACAGTGAGTGTGGTTTGTGTGAAAAAAGTGAGTGACAATGGTAACGCCACAACAAATCGCGATGAAGGTAGTCGTCGACAGCGCAAGAGGGTAGACAGTATGTCTGCTCATAAAGCTGTCATCTGCCGCCGTCCAGTCAACCCGTGACCATGGAGCGTGCAACCGTTCCGAAATATCGGGAAAATAAAAAGAAGTCATACCGTGGTAAGAAACCTGATACTAGTGATAATCATTTAGTGAATAACCACGAAAGTCTTAAAATCTATAATCTTCTTCTGTCTACACATGCACTGGTGTAATCGGAGGACATGAATCTCTACTAGCTATGTTCCTGATTAACTGGTTTTGCCTCCTCCACTCGCATCCGTCTCTTCATACATTAATATGTTTTTTTTATAACATCAAGTGACGGGACAAACAAGTCGTGCCCCTGATGGTAAGCTACACGCCTGTCCATAACAGTTAGAGTGCTACTCAGAGCTTTAAATTGCAAATATCTGATGCGCACTACCACTGCGCCCGTCACCCTGAGACATAAGTTGACAAGTGCCATGTGCCTGTAATTTCACCATGTATAGTTTATAATTAGTAATTTTCTCCTTTCTTTGTACACCGAGGTCTACTTCTCCTCATGTTTCCATTAGCGATGGGGCGAGTTGTTTTTTTTTCCAACTCGAGTTAACTCGGTGTATGACATAGCAACCGCGAGTCGCGAGTACTATTCGAACAGAACGATTCACCGAGTTGGACACGACAGGCGGCGGCGTCCAACCGCAACTCGAGCGTGCTCCGAAGGTCGCTGAACCGACCGAATGAGAATGAATTGCCGACACGCTGTATGAATGAAGTACTCGACTCGGCGAGAACCGAGCCGACCTAGCTCGAGTTGACTCGTTGGGGGAGTAACTCGAGTTAAATGTCTCGACTCGCCTATCGCTCGCGACTAGAGCGTGCTCCAAAGGTCGCCAAACCGACCGAGTCGGTTCGGCGAGGCGGGTATCGAGTTAGATCGAGTTCTTAAAAAAGTAACTCGAGTTAATCGAGTTAAATAACTCGACTCGCCCATCGCTAGTTTCCAGACACATTCCCATACAAATTTGTGCCGTTAATTTACTAATGTCCGGCCTTTCCACATAATCAAATCATCTAAGTATTTCCTTCTCTATCCTGGTGAATAACATCATCTTTTACGCGACAACACTCTCTTACTAGAACAGTTATCATGACATATTTAAGAGCCAGGCTTTTGTCAATAAAAAATCTTCCACCCCTCACAGTGCATAACCAGTTCCTTGACTTCTTTCAAATGGCTTACTTTGACATTCTTGGTCTTCCTCTTTTTATTTTTCCTTCTATATTCCTCTCAACAATAGCTTTTATAAATTCCTCCCCACGTAACAGGATGTCCAAACATTTTCCCCTTCGGTTCTCTATTAAATAACAAATAAATAGAAATGTTAATAATACATTGGTCAACATTATTTGAATCAACATTGAACTATATTTGATCTGCTATTCCATCTCAAGCCGCTGTAAAACTGAGAATATCATAGATTTTTCTTATCACGGCATGACTTTTATTATTTTCCCAATGTAACCATTCGGAAATATCGGAAAAATAACAAGAAGCCTAAGAAACCTGTAACTAGTGATAATAAGTTAGTGGTTAACCACGAAAGTTTCAAATGCGATAACGATAATGTTTTGTTTACAGCAACTGTACAATAAAAGACATCGACGAGAAGTACTATGACAGCCCTGTGCCTGCAGAGAAATTGATCGACATGGTTGAAACTTTGGACGAGAAAACGCTGAACGGTATTACGAATGGGTAAGTAAATAATGCGACAATTAATCTTAATACTATATCAACCAATACAGGGTGTAATCGTTAAGTGTGCCCAGGCGATTATTCTATAAATATAGGAGATATAAAAAAGCTTTAAACTGAATCGAAGGATGTTATCTACGAGAAAATCGATATCAATAACTTTTTTTAAATAAACTGGAAATATCCTACATTTCAACATTAAAGGCATACTTTTCATACGACACTCGTAGGGAGGCTTTAGTTTTCCTACTGTAAGAGGTAACAATAAGGTTGTATAATAACGATTATATTATGTATATACTTATGGACTTAGTGCTAAAAACAATTTGCATTATTGTAACAATGTTCATAGTAATACAGGCCACATATACAGTAAGGTTAGCACGACAGGACGCGACTTGCACGAGAGCGACTTAAAGTGCGAGAATATGCGACAGTAGCAGTATCTCTAACTATCTTACATGCGCGATAGTTCGTTAGCGCGAATGGTCAGTTGCGCGAATGACGATAGTACGAAGACAGATTTGCGAAAAACAAAGCAATCTTTCATTACGATCAATCAAAAAAACATTACGAAAAATTATAACGGGTTTTTGTCCGAATTGCAACAACCTGCTACCGTGGGAGTACTTGCAATAATTAACTTGCCTTCCAGCTCTCGCAAATCTGTCTTCGTGTTATCGTCATCCGCGCAAATGAACTATCGCGCAACCGTCATCGCACTGTCGTCATTCGCGTAAACGGCATTCGTACTCACGTAGTACACCCGTGCTTAAGCTAGCCATGTGCTAGCCCTACTGAACGTTTATTTTGAAAAAAGATTGACTTGACTGAGTGTGCAGTGGTTTATTTGATACGTGCACGAGGATATATTTTTTATTGAATTTGAAATAACCTAACCTCCGGTTAAAAATACCGACCTCAATAGTCATTCATCCCCTAGTTGCCACCCTTAGAGGTGGATTATATTTTCTTGAAATTTAAATGGGACCACATGAGGTACCTTCTTTCCAACAAAAAAAAAGAATCATCTAAATTGGTTCACAAATGATGGAGTTATCGCGTAACATACATACAAAAAAAATACAGACGAATTGAGAACTTCCTCCTTTTTTGAAGTCGGTTAAAAAGAAGAACTTCAATCGTCTTTTGTTTTCTCTTTAACGTTCTGGTATAAGTGGCCAATAAGTATATGAATATTGTTAACATACCTCAACCTTATTATTGCACTAAATAAATTACTCCGTAAATTGATTTGTGGCTTTGTGAAGACGCATAATTCGTAATTTATTTAGTCTCTGTTTTTCTTAAGGCGACTGGTTAACAACGGCCAGTTTATTTCTATTCCTCGTATTAATGTTATGTTTATCACTATTTTTTATTAAAAAAAAATAACTGTGGCGCTAGTGTAAGCATGTTCTTTGAACTTGTCTCTTGAAGACTTGTCTCTTAAGCTCTTCCCAGAGTGCCTTCTGGGGTCTAGATTGTCAATTACTCTAACCGCACGTTTTTGCGGGACAAACAGTCTATTACTATTGACGGTATTACCCCAAGGCATGCCTGTATCGCTTGGTTAGACAGTGATTATACAGAGTATTGATACATAATTCTTTCGCTTCTATCACTCATGTATTAATTGTGTTTGCAGGTTAATAGGTGATTTTCCCAACACCTACGCATTCACAAAAGCCTGCGCCGAAGACGTCGTCCTTAAATATTCCAAAGGATTACCTGTTGCCATGATCAGACCATCTATAAGTAAGTACGAAAGCAAATGCAATCTCATACACAGACGATTCTTCGTTTCGATCGATAGTTACAATTATCGTTCGATCAAGTTCATCGTTAATGACATAAAAATGCACTATCGATTGTGATTGTATTGTCGAATGTGAGCATTGGATCGTATCTTCACGAAAGAATGTGTCCTGGCCTCCGAAATGAGATGACGCCAGCCACTTTCGTGGGTTCTGTGCAGTTTCTCGCCAATTAATGGCTTGTAGTTCGCGTGACTTTATCAAGTGACGGGGCGTACAAGTCGTGCGCCTGACGGTAAGCTACACGTCTGTCAAGCTGCAGTGCCACTCAGAGCCTCAAATCGCAAAGATCTAAGAGTCATTGCCACTGCGCCCGTGACCCTGAGACATAATTTGACACGTCTCATGTACCTGCAACTTCACCAGCACCCTTCCCTTCAAAACCGGAACACAGTAATGCTGACATTATTGCTTGGCGGCAGAAATAGGTAATAGAAGTTGGTCCGCGTATACGGCATCGCTCCAGCGACACCTGAGACAATAAACCGTTCGGTTCCACCATCCAGTACGTCGACTCAGATACGCTGTCTTTATGTTCCGATCTGGCTAAATGACTCCGTCACTCGCTCGAGGTTACGCAATAAGTGCCTATCTCTGAGTGTATCGCCGACAGTGCAAACGCTCAGACAAGTCTTTTATTTACACTACAACCCTTGTACAATTCGGTTCCGCACGACTGCACACGGCGGCAACGTTATTTTCACCTGTTTGAGCGTGTGCTTAGGTTTTCCTCGTAGTGTGTGTCATTGGCAGATTTAGTAGGCCATTATAGCGTAAGTGTTTTCGATTTTATATGCGAGTAATGTATCTGTTACTATTAAGTAATCTATAGCTTTGGTTTCGCCGATGACGTTTGGCTGGGCAATAAGCTCTTCTATTTCAGCGTTAGCGCGGACTCTCCGGCTACCATCCTCTCGTTGGACTGATATTTATTATGAATTAATAGTGAACGAAAGATATCTGAACTTCTGGATCAAATAATAGAGGCGCCAAAACTGCTATAGATTTTAATTTACTTTTCATTATGTTGTTACAGTTATTGGAACGGCGAAAGAGCCTATCGCTGGATGGATTGACAACGTTTATGGACCTACTGGGGTAAACTTTTGCTCTGTACTTAAGGAAACGCTTGAATTCATTTACATTGTTTTCTTACATATTTTGGATTCTATTCATTACGAACAATCCTATTAGAAAATGCTATAAAATATATCGAGTTTTTTGTTTTCGCTATTGTTACACGTAGGAAATGAAACCAGTTTTTCGGTTCTTAATCGCGTATATTTATCATGATGGAATTTCGTCGGGGATAGTGCAATTACGCGTAACAAGCATTGGATTTTGTGTTTCCATTTCGGTAATTTAGTGACCAAATTGATGTGATTTACGGAAATCTATTGTTATCGGCCCATAGACAACTTAAATTAATGTTTACTGTGCAAAAATAAAAGTCGTACCCATTAAAATAACAAAGTGATAACGTTAAGTCCCTTTGCTATAAAATTTGATACGCGTGTTTTACCAATGCTACCTTACGGATTTGCACTATCCACGACGATTTGTTAAATTTCAATATGTGAAAATAAGAAAGGCTTGAGGGCTTCGATAGACTAGGGTTCCTCTCCTATGTTGTGAATATACCAAGGATTCGCACTTTACTTTCCATCAGGTGAAATAAAGGTGAAATCAAATCAAATAAAAAATCATTTATTCTCAGACAACTACAGTCCATATTTTACAGTTTTATAACTGAGATTAGATACTTGAGAGAACTGATTAGATTAGATACTTCAATAGAACACACACATTAAAATAAACAAAAGGCAACTTAAAAACATAGAATAATTAAATATTAAATAAATCATCGACATGGTTTTAAATGCAGTTTCATGCAATGTAGCATGATCGGGCAATCCACTCTACCAGTCACAACGCGCACAATCTCATTCGTGCCGCAACGGATACGATTTATTAATGAGGCAGCTCTCTTTCTAAGGATAGCATGGAAACCATCCGTGCATTTAAAACAAATATAGTAATTAAAAAATTAATGTCTAAATCTATTAATACAACGGAATTTAGTTATAATATGTTATCAATATGTATTGCAATTTCTTAGATTGTTCTTTGATAAACAATATTTTAAGTCGCTTCGTTCTGGCATCGAATTAGTTTTTATGTAACGTAAAACAATGAATTCTAATCTGACAAACTTTGTGATTGGCTATGTAAATAGATTATTCAGAATTATAAACCAAATTTAAAAGCTGTAAAGTTTGCAAATAAATAAATAAATATTATATTTATATATTTAACCTAAAATATAATATAAATAAAATAACATAAAAGAATTGCGAAGGAAGAAGTTGTTAGTGAGGTAATTCAGTTTTGCTTCTAGCAGACAATCACATAATAACCTGTCAAAACCTCAGAGTAAACTCAAAAGACATTCGTAGTTTTCTCATTACAGAATCATCACTAGAAAGTTTTCACACCCTTCTTAGTCACATCAATTCAAATCTTAAGAGCAGACTTGGGTTTACATGTTTGAATACAGCAGAAAAAGAAGAAATTTAATATTTTTAATCAAATTACAGGTGGTTGTTGGAGCCGCAGTGGGCTTGATCCATGTACTCAACTGCAATCCTGACGCTGTTGCGGATTTGGTCCCAGGAGACATGGTCGTTAATGCTTGCATTGCAACTGCTTGGAAGACTGCTAGGTTGGCAATTTCATTTAATTTCTTTCTTTTTTGTGAATCCATTTTGATGACTCTTTTATTGAAAGAATTTACCTCTGTAGTGGTCCCATTTAAATTTGAAGAAAATAATCCACCTCTAATGGTGGCAAACTTGACAAACTTGTCAAATAGATATTCTACGTTTAGTACACCGTACTACATATAGTAATTCTACGAACTTTTGGGGACGGTTACCAACAGATTTATATTACTTACATAAGTACATGTGCGACAAATCGCGTAGTTGAACGTTTTTGTCATCGAAAGAAAAAGTTAGGCGTGGGGTGCATCGTCAAGTTCGAATTTCAAAAACATTTTCCACGCTAGCGTGTAAGACGTGCAAGAAGAAGAGAAATAAAGCCTTTCCGAGCTAGTGAGGTGAAAATGATTTTTTCTTTGTATTGTTCGACCTTTCTGTTAATAATAATGCCTAGTTGTTTACATATTGTTTCATTCCATTTCAGAGACTATCCCGGCAACCATGAGGACGCTCCACCCCAGGACCTACCCCCTTCAGTCTATAACTACGTATCTTCGGAACAACAACCCATTACATGGGGTACGTGAATACAATAACAATGTGCCAGATACCCGATCGCAAACTAGAGAACTTCTTGTGCTATGAGTGTCAGGGCAACGGACTTCACTCCGAGGCACACAGAACGCCCAGATCTGTAGGTCGATTCAGAACCGTACGATAACTTAGTTATCGACCGGTTCGATTTGATATCGTACGATTTCTTTTCATTTTTATTCACTACACCGGAATCGAACGTCAAACTGACGTATTCGAAACCGAACCGAAATGACGTCACACCCGTACGATTACTCCAACTTCTCGAACGGCAAAGGCTACAAACGTCATTCAGAATCGAACGTTTAATTCGAATGTTCTGAATGTTCTCGGAAAGCGCCCTTCGATTCGAGAACGATATCCAATTGAACTATTCGGTTAAAACATCGAAGAGTTCTGAATCCACGTCCGGAACCGAATAGATGATTTCCCAAATTGGTTCTATCGGGATTTGAACTCGGGACCTCCAAAATCAACGCCCAAAGTGCAAACCGTCGGGCCACCGACATGACTGACCGACCAACCCGTCAACCTGATGGATAAAGTTAACAAGTCCCATTTGCCTGTAATTTTACCAACACCCTTATCTTTGAAAACCGGAACGCAGTACAACACAATACAAAAACTCTTTATTCCCACAATGACACTTTTGTTGGACACAAATAACACATCAAGCCAAAAAAGTAAAACAATAAACGGTACTCCATACATATCAGATGGCAAAAGGAGGTGTCTCAGCTTGTCCCTACGATCTTAGGTGGGCTTAAATGCAACAAGGGCCTAAAACAATTAGAAATATAATGCTCATATTACTGCTTGGCGGCAGAAATAGGTTAGGTGGCAGTACTTCCCTAGTCGAACTCTTCCACAAGGAATTGTACTGCTGAAATGTACATGCCTATGATAAGTGTGGTGTGTTACACCCGGGCAGGCAGATATTATGAGACTGTGACAAAAAAAAACAAATCGTCGTCGATAGTGCAATTACGCGTAACTAGCATTTCATTATCCATTTCGGGTAATTTAGTCGTCGTAATGTCGTGGCAACCAAATTAGCGTGATTTACGGGAATCTATTGTTACCAGTCCGTAGACAACATAAATTAATGCTTACTATGCAAAAATAACAAAGAAATAATAATAATAATAATAACGCTCACACTCAACATAGCCCCGCACT